CCCCCCCCAGGCCGGCGCACAAGCCTCCCTCGGTGCTGGACTGACTCCTAACAAACAATGCCTTACTCTTTTTCTAGCTGACCGCCTGCATCGGCCGGTTCTTTTTGTCCGAACGGCTGTAAACTCTACAGGGCTTCGAGCGGCCCGCCGGTACCAGAGCGGGTCCCACCTCTCGTCATATCACCCGCAGATGTCGTGGGATTGAGTAGATGTGAATAAACGTGTCTGCATGTGTGACCCCCCCCCACCCCCCCCCCCAGTGCTGAAAAGGGGTGTAAATAATTTTGGACCACTAGCAAGAAAGAAGAGTATTTAGATGTGATTTGGTGCTTGAAATCAGAACCTGGTGAGGGAAGTTTAGGATGCATTGATTTTTTTTACCTCACCCCCACTCCCCCATCCTTTAATTGTGCTTTTGCCACGCTTTTGTTTCCTTTATGTGGATGAGGCTCAGATACGTCGCTCTAATGAAGTTCAGACTGGTGTGTCAGCTGCTTTGTAGTAAAACTTGATGAGAGGTGAAAAAGTTAGAACGGTGCTCGTGGTTGAATGATAATGAAACACAACGTTTGTTGTGATTTGAAAAAAGAAGAAAAAAAAAAGTTGCTTTTGTGTAGATATCCTCCTGCCTGCCTTTAGGAAAAGGCCGGCGGATAAAGTCGGGATAATGTGATCCGTGCTTTCAGTGTTTTGTTTTTTTTGCCACCGATCTCCTATGCAACATTCATTCTGGTCTCCAAATTGAAGCCAAAAGCCGAACGTGCATTTGTCCCCCCCCCCGCCCCCTCCCCGGACGTTTCCCCAGGCATGGCACCAGACTCGTGTCCAATAATCGGTGTAGGTGTGTGTTTGTGTGTTTTAAAGGCTGCCCTGCTACCGTCTCTGTAAGCACAAGGAGTGTGGTTGTGTTTGGGGGGGGGCTGCTCTCAGAGTGGGGGGTGTTCTTAAAGCGTCTGACCAGTCTGTCCTTTTACTACACAAATACAATGAATGTTTAGCCTTCCTAGCCATGTACATTTTTATATGTAACATAACTTTGTAAATAGTTTATCTTGCAGCATTTTGATGACCTTTTCTAGCCAGTTTGGTACGATACTTGAAATGAAGTATTTTGTGTACAGTCTCTTTTCATGGGAGGAGATCGATGCAGTTTGTCATCACTTGTCTGTCCAGGGCTTGGAAAATTAAATCAGATATCACTGTACTAGTTTTAAGTTATTGTGATTCAATAAAAAATAATTATTTATGACTGAATTTCCTTGCTGTCGTTTCCCTGAAACAAACACACGACCTGAAGTCCTTTACAATTTTATTTGGTGTTTGTACAAAAAGTGTGAAATAAACATATATACATCACATAATACAACATACTTATTAAACAAATTCATATAAATTATTAGGGAAATAGCTACAATTTTCAATAAACAACTCTATTGAACGTCGAGGGAAAAGTAACTCATTCTTGGCTTAGAATTTCCATACAAAATTGTACAAAATACTGTACATTTGAGCAAAGCTGTGCAAAACAGCAGACCGGAGGCAGGTCCTGTCCGGGCGCATGCGCACCCCGAAGCTACAAACAGCGACACTTAAGCAGCTTCTTACAAACCTGCTCACAGTTTTCCTTCAAAACAAATGGTGGGTTTTAAGTAAATACTTTCATTCTTAAAAAATAATAAATTAAGATACTGTGATTTCTTCTTCCTCTGACTCTGAGAAGTCCGAATGCTTGCTGGAGAGAGAAGGGGAGGAGATGCAGGAGCCCGGCGCCCTCATCCCAACTCCTCCGAACTCCTCTTCCTCCTCCTCTTCCTCGGCGGAGGACTTCTTGCCCACGTCGCTGAGGTCCGGGTGGGGGTTGGCTTTGGTGGGCAGCGTCTGCTCGCGGCAGCCGCCGGAGGACAGCAGCTCGCGCTCCTTTGAGTTCCTCCATTTCATCCGCCGGTTCTGGAACCAGATTTTCACCTGGAGCCGGGAAGAAAACGTCGCGTTAGAAAATAAAAAACGTTGATAGGGGGCTGGGGGGGCGGGTCGTGGCGCGTGGGCGCGCGCCAGACTCGGGACGGACGGAGTTTTTATTTTTATTTTTATTTTTTACCTGCGAATCTTTGAGGCCCAGCTTGGAGGCCAGCTTCTTCCGGTCGGGCTTGCTGATGTACTTCTGCTTCTGGAACATTCTCTCCAGGGCTTTGCGCTGCACGTCGGAGAACACGGCCCTCCGGAGCATCCCTCTGCGGGGCTTCCCTCTGGCGGCCAGCGGCCACGAGAAGGTCCCGGGGATGGGCACGACGGAAGAGGACGCTGCGGAGAACAGAGGGGGGGGGGGGGAGTTAGAAAGGCACGCTTCAAACCCCTAAAAGGCCAAATCAGTGGGGCTGTCTGGAAAAAGCCGCTGGGGATCTAATAAGCTCTTGGATTTGCGAATATGATCATCCCTCTATAGCGTTTTCAGTTTTCCCGTTTTGGATCTGACCAATACGTCTCCGTTTTGAGTGAAATGGCACGAGGTGACTAATTAGCACATTGGCCAGGCCTCCCGCGCATTGGTATGGTAAAGAGGTGGCAGATCCTTTAAGGCGGCCTGTGAGGGCGGATAGAGGAGTTAATAAACCGTGAACGGTAATTGTGTAGTAATGAACTAACGCAGAAAAGACTCTGGACAGGCGGCGAAGGCCATATATTATGGCAACAAAAGGAGATTTACACTTTCAAACTAAACACAACTGCATACCAGAATACTGATGCCCAGCGGGGGGGGCAGGGGGGGGTGAGGAGTGGAGGGGAATAGCGCTTTTTTTTTTTCTTCCTGCCCTCAAATCATTTTCATTAAATGAACACGAAAAGCTTTTCAGGACGCGGAGCGGTTTTGTTCAGCTGAGCCCGTGAAAAGCCTCCAGCTCCATCCTGATCCTGATCCGGATCCGGATCTGGATCCGGATCCGTCAGAATGGAAGCAGAGAGCTGAGACTTTAGAGACTTTTCTGCGGGATCATTTTTAGCTCGATGGGCTGATCGGAACTTTATTTTTGTAGTTGTTGTACAGCTGGACGGTGGCCCCTCTTCCCCGCCCTCCCCCCCCCCGGGCCCCCCCCCCCCCCCCGGCAGAGTCCGGAACAAGGACGCGCTATGTGGTCTTGGGAGAATATTGAAACCGTTCAATAGCGCCTAATAGGGAAATTAGTGCATGACTGGTTCACGCCTTTGGCCCGCCTGGTAAAAGTCACTCTGCGGGGGGGGGGGGCTCGCCCGATGGGAGCTGACCAAATTGGTCACGGTGTTGGGGGGGCTTTTGTGGCCGCTGCGGCGGGCCGGTGGCCCCCCGGACGCTGTGGGAAAACGCGGGGCCAGCGAAATGCCAGAACGCCCCCACTGGGAAGCGGGGGGCTAGAACTGACCACCCCGCCTCAAATTTAGAGCGTGACGATTTGGGATAATTGGTTAATTAGGGGGTGGGCTGGTTCGCCCCTGGCAGGAACCGAGTCTTCGCC